GATAAACTCAGTTTTGCAGATGCTTTTAGTTTTCACACTGATTCCCGTATGGAGGTCATGCCCTGCCATCAGAGCTTCAAAAAAAAAAAAAGAAAAAAAATAACTTGGGCATAGTTGTGTGTTTCTCATCTTCATTCCCAATTTTTCATCAGAAATACACAAGGACAAACAAGATAAATTTGGCTCACTGGGGAAGCTGAAAGCCTGACTCTCACTGCTACAATCTCTTCTGTACTCTCCCTTGCTTCTTGCTTGTTCCCTTCATTCTGTCCAAAACACCAGCCCCTATAAACATTGTAACTTCTGAGCTGACAGACTGTCAAGACATGATGAGTCTGGAAAAGTTGTACAAGCAGGAAAAAAAAAGAACAACCTTAAATCAAATATGAATTAACCCTTGCAAACAAAGCAGAACTCAATTCTCAGTTTCATGCTGCCCATATGCATTTTTTAATTGTTAAAGAGATACTCAAGTATTTACCAACAAAGACCACCACGTGGAAGACAACCATCTACCAAAATACCCCAAGAGATACTTGAATCTCAACATCTCTGTCAATGGTTCGGCACTTCTGAACAACAGCCACCCCAGTGATAACTCACTCTTATATTCTACCTCATGTAGCTAATATGGGAAAAAATACTCTAGGAAGTATTAGTATTTTGTAGCTTTTCACTTTCAAAGCCAGTTGAGTACTTAACGGAAAGAAATATTGTGCTATGCTCTCACTAGCATTTTGTTGAAATTTCACATTCTTCAAATAGGAAGTTACAAGGTATTTCTGCAGCTTCTACTAAATCTGTAATAAAAGTTGTTTGGTTTTTTTAAAAATGACTCAGGCATTGCACTTAAATGCAGGTGTGAGACCAGGGTTGATCAATGCTCATATACTGGTTACTTAACTCAGAAAGCATTAGGAATGTCACCATACCAGTGTAGTCTGGCCTGACCAGTTTCTCCATTTTGAAGACACTAGGAAGACAGCCCACCACTAATGTTTTCTTGTTCTTCTCAGAGCAATAAGGAATTGTGTCTGACCCCATCAAAGAGCTGTCAGGAAAAAGGTTCTTTGCATTGTAAGTTCTGCGTTGAAATACATGTTTTTAGTCTTCTGGAAAGCAAGTTTTTAAATTGGAAACGCTGACAGATCTTTAACTGCAGCAATAACAAATAACATCGGTGTAATTTCTCTTGAAACAAATTGCTCCGTTTTCTTCTCCAGTTTCCAGCTTAAAACCTTTCATTGCTGATGCTGTTGTCAATCTTGTCTAGTGACCTATTTACCCAAAGCACAGAATTACAGAACAGAATTTTATGACAAGTACAGAGCAGGCTTTGACACTAATAATACTCAAGATTTTGTGGACGTGGATTGTTTTTAGGGCTTGGTCAGAAAGGCCACTTTTCTTTCCTGTGAAAAGTCAACAAGCCACCTCAGAGGTTTTGCAAATGAATTTGTCATAGCAATTAAGGGAAAGAAGCTATATAAACATGATAAAAGGTGGCTAACATCACCATGAACCATTACATTAAAGGATAAGAAAGAGACCTTTAACACATTGCTCTGAACACTTAGGAAATCAAAAATACTGTCTGGCTAGCTACATTCTTTGACTTCCAATGAATCAGTGCTGTCTGCAACATGCACCCGACCTTTGAGAGAGATGGGAAAAAACCTCAAACCAAACACTAACTTCTAAGTATCTGTAATGGAAGCTTGAAGGGCTCTACGTTGCAGTATGGGTAAGGACCAATATTAACACAACGCAGAACCAGGCAGCCCCACAGGGAGTTTCCTTCCCCACCCCTCCAACAAGTTTTGAAAAGACAAGAACCTGAAATCCACTGGAAAGATGCTTGGTGTAGCTGCTCTTGTCAAAGTACACGGCCCATTCAACTTCTCAGGATGCTTCCAGTAAAGATAGTGGCAGGGAGCAGATAGCATATGTAGAAAGCCACCACATGTAACGAACATCTGAAAACACTGAGACACTACTGGGGATAAACTGGCAATCTAAGGCCATAAGGCTCACAGAATCCACGCCACTGTGAAAACTGGCCACTCAGTGATGCTTGGATATACGGTATGGGATGTGTAAGACTCCTTGTGGTGGGTTATTGGGAGGGTGGTTTTGTGCAGTTTGGAGGGGTTTTGTTTCATTGTTTTTTTGTTTTTTGGTTGTTTTTTTTAAAAAAAAAACAACACAAATGCTACATTTTCTGAGCTTCCCCCATCCCTCACCAGCATTGCTAGTAGTTTGGAAGGGGTTTATTTTGTTCCTGTGGGTTGCAGTGGAATGCAATTCTTCCACTGCATTGACACAGCTTTACTTGGTGTTTTCACTTAAGACAGATACCACATTCCCTGTGTGACTGTAGAACAGCTGAGTTTCCAGTACAGAAGTGAGAGCAGTCAAATATCAGCTCAGTTCTCAGTTACCAAATTTACTAAATAAAGATAGAAAAAGCATCAATAAACATACAGCTTTTCTGAACACATTTGTGCCATCAAGTATATAAAAAAGCATCCTAAACATGCAATTATTACATATAATATGCTATGCCCATATCATTTTGTGTAACCATCCAGGCACACTTACTCAAATGTTTTCAGCTCTTAAAATCTATTTTTAAAAACAGTATTGGTTTAGCAAGTAGCATTTGCCAGCAGATATTAGCATACTCAAGTCCTGTTGAATTCACAGGGCTTTTATAATCTTCTTGTTGCTTACAAATTTCTTGGTCATTCATCATGGCAAATCACTAGCTGTACTTGTGGCTGAAGAAAATGCTAGCTCAGAAAGCAGAAATGAGTGCAAATGCATTAATGCCAGATCATGATTTTTACTACCAAGGATGTTATGCTCTTACACCACCTATAATTAGACATACCCAGTAGCTACAATTTTCTCAGTTATTCAAAATACTATGCGGACCGCTGGGTGTGTGTGGCAAAGGGGGTAAATAACTCATATAAAGCAAAAATACAGGTAATACAAAGTATTTCTAAAATTAGGCAATAGGAATACATTTCTGGTCTAGTATCTCTGAAAAACACAAATACGTTTCTGCAGAGCACAATGGCAGCTTAAATAGCAAGAGCTGGTACGCGAGCAGCATCAAATCTCCGGGCCTTCCCCACTTTTTGGGATGGAAAGAAGCACAGGGCAGGTCAGATTCATTGCCAGGAAGTTTTTTTTCCTTGTGTGTGTGTGTTTTGGGTTTTGTGGGGTTTATTTTGACTTAGTAACCCTTACCTTTTAGGAAGAGGGAAAAACTGGTTGGTGTGAGATTTTCAAGACTATCTAGTGCTTTTAGCCATGTTCTCCACAAAAAAAAAAAAAAAAAAAAAAAAAAAAAACACAAAACAAACACCACACACAACAAAAAAACCACAAAAAACAAACAGCAGGTGTGACTACATCTCCTGTGATAGCTTCATGACTCTAAAGCACAAGCCACAGCCACACACTCAGTGACCCATATATAGCTTATTTTCTGTATAAACTGTATACTTCTAACATGCTAATTTGATCAAGTTAAGTAGTGAGTTCCAACTAGGTTTCAGAGCACCCTTAAGGATCAAGTCCTGACATCATTTTTCAATACCAAAACAACAAGCACCACCACAAATTAACCACCATCTTCAGGATTAACAGAAGAGTATATCTGCAGCTGAAAAAAGTCTTTAAAGCAACTTCCAATACTCAGAAGGAAAGACATCTTAGAAGTTAAGGATTAAAACAAGAACACTGGCAACACGTGGTGGATGTCAACTTATTCATGGAAACAAGCCTCTGAATGAAGACAGCCAGCAAGATGCCGCTTTAGGCAGTATGTAAAAATAAAGTGAATGCCGCCCATTGTCTACTTAGAGCTTAACACGCTTGATCTAAAACCTTAAGTTCTGAATGCAACACACACAGAGTAGAAAGTTAAGCTGTGGGTGGATGGAATCTTTTCTGCCTACCCTGAGTGATAACCACACTGCTCCTGCTGCAGCTGTCACAGACTATTCCTTGGGCACTCCATTAGAAAGCACATAGCAAAGATTAGGCTCAAAGTCACAGAGACTGATGGTACAGATAGGCTGGAGAGACTTCACTCTGCTTCCACAAAGAAAATTGCTCTCTGTGCAAAACAGCACAGAAAACTCAGAGAGCTTCAGATCTCCTTGCATGAAACAGCAGCACTGAGGAAAAGAAAAGAAACAGCAGAACACTGGAAGCTCACCTCAAGCACCAGTGACTGAGTTCTTGTCCCTATGTTTTAATTATTCAAGCTTGACATAAAAGCAACTTGAGACAATACCAGACCCATGAAGATGGTGGGTCTGCAGCACTAAGCAGACCAGGAGATAACCACAGAAATAATCAGTCACAGACACTCCCAGCTAATTCCCTTACACCTTCCTGAAACCCAAATACAGACACAAAATACAGAATAATTAATCCACTACCTTTAAAAAGTCATCCCTGCCCATGTAAGTTGTATTACAAACACCTTTTATACCATTCTTATGTTCAACTTTTCAGCTTTTTACCCATCCCTCAACTGCCACCA